TATTGAGTCTCGGTGACACTCAGGTATGAAAACCCGGGGGGATTGCTCTTAGGATTTAATCCATAATGCTCATTCTTAAGGAAAGAACGAGGAGGGGGTGGAAAGGGGAGAAAGAAATGAGGAAGATTTTCCATAGGGAATTTTCAAGAAAAGTGAAAATAAAATCTACCAATTTTTATTTCTGTTTTCTTCTTTTACTTTCTCTCTTCTTTCTTTTTCTCTGCTTTCCTCCTGAATTTTGTGTATCTCACTGAAATTCTATACATCATGGGCCCATTGTGTTCCACGTCACTAATGCTATATGCAAATAGAGTGGCAAGAAATGGCTCTGGACATTCCCATGCTCCATTGTCCCACAGCCTTCATATTACAAACAAAAGTTCAAAAATTATTATGAATTTCAAGAACATGGCCGCAAGATGTTGAATTACAGAACCCTTCTGAGCACGGACGTTATGCTACTGCCCAGGTTTCATGGCAATGAAGCTAGCCCTGGGAGTGAACATCAGGCCTCTAGCCAGATCTGCTCAAATCCTTTGACATTAGCCATCCATCAAGCCTTTGCACCAGGGTTTCCTTCCATCGAAGCCCCCAGAGCACTGCATTCTTTTCCCTTGTCCACACATATCTCCTCTCATACGAATATAAACCAGTGGTATTCAAAATTTTTGTCTAGGTACTTTCTAAAAGAATTTTGAAGTAGTATACACTTCCTCAAAAACATTAAGTTGGCATCTAATGCTTGTCATTTAATATTTAAACAGCAGAAAAAGATATAATGTTCAGTATATTGTGAATAGTGACATTTTAAAATAAAACTGTCCCATCAGTCTTTTAAGTGTATCCTATGGAATCTGAATATCTAGAAATTTTCTTCCCCCGTTATCCATTTTAAAAATACATGAACAAGGTTTTCTCAACTGTCAAAAATTCAACATTACTGCTTTGTCTCCTTGAAGTTGGTCCATTTTCCCATATATCAATTTTTATGATTAAAATCGTGTGATGATGACTCCTACATCATTGTTTGCATTGAAAATATATATGCAAATTGGAATTATTTACTTTTTTCTTTACTCAATAGGCTCCAAGTGTTAAAATGTTCTATAATTACCATTGCTTTAATTGCACATTAATATAATCAATATAAAAACTTTAATTTCATATTGCTAAATGTAAACCTATTTTTTTAAATACAGTCTTGAATAAGATAGATGGAGTTTTTCTTATTTCTTATTTTCCCTTCAATTAGATTATATGTTAAAAGATCAATATTGATGGGATGAAACAAAACTCACCCACAGATATTCTTTCTTTTTTTAAGGTATGCTTTTTTTGAGTGTATGTGAGGAAAATTGGACCTGAGCTAACATCTGTGGCAATCTTCCTCTTTTTATTTCTCCCTAAATCCCCAGTACATAGTTGCGTATCCTAGTTGTAAGTCATTCTAGTTCTTCTGTGGGGGATGCCACCACAGCATGGCTTGACGAGCAGTATGTAGGTCTGCTGCCAGAATCTGACCCAGTGAACCCTGAGCAGCCGAAGTGGAGCAGCAGAACTTAACCACTCCTCCACGGGGCCGACCCCACACCCACAGTTATTCTTAATTTAATTTCTATAAAACTATTCTCTGAGAACCTTTGTTCTCATAGAAATAACTCAGCTGAGAGTGGAAGGAGTTTGCATTGCAGGGAACGTTGCTCTAACAGAATTGGTAACTGCTGGAATCAACTTCTGCTCTAAGAAACTAGATTCTGGTTATCAGAAACTCAAAAGAGAATGCCCACAGAGCTGGGACCCAAACTTGTAGGGATGGGCCACAGAGAGCTGATGCAGGTGTAGCTGAGCAATGTGATGAGGCTGTTTTGAGGTAAGGGTAAGAGAAATGCACCACAAACTGGAATCAACTGCTTCTATTAGAATCCACTGCTGTTGCCAAGGATAAAACAGTTGCTTGTGTGACAATGACAAGAATAGAAAACTAATAGGAAAAACAAATCTCTTATCCTTCTTCCAGCTTTTCAGTCTGCATCTAATGCCTCCTATTTGCAGAGCACAACGTTTCTAATTTCAGAACTTCCAAATCCTGCCAAAATACTCCACTCTAAAGCCACATATTATTCTTAAAATAAACATGTATAGACAAGGAAGCAAGCCCTGAAATTGGTTGTTAGGATTGAAAGAGACAGTGCCCATAAAGTTCTTGATGAAGTTCAGAGAATATTGTAAACATTAAATCTCATCAATGATTATTATATTTCTATCACCTATGACTCTAACCAGCACTACATTCTGGCATCTGAACAGTCCCCTAAGAAGAGGGTCCTGGAGTGGGCACTTGGCTTGGGAAAATGAAACCCTGGAGCTGAAGGTCAAAATGAATGAGTTATATTCTTTGTTTACCATTTACTATCCCTGGACCCCTTGGCACTCTTACTCCTCGTCTGCCAGGGGGTCCTTAGGATTCAACCGTGAGAGGATCTCAGAAGGCAAGAGAACGTGGTGTGGGGCAGGTAAGCCCTGCTCACCTGGGAGGAGAGCAGATGTTGCTTTGGCCTTTGCAGACAGCTCTGAATCACCCATGAGAATAGATAGCATGAAGTATCCACTGGGATACACTGTGAGGAGCATATTCCCAACAGGGTTTGTCTGGGGGATATTATAGCTTCCAGCTCCTTCACTGCTCGGAGCCTGAGAGGAAGCTCCTGTGAAATGTGGTGTGTGTAGGGTCTCTAGAGCCTTGGCCTAACAAGGGAAAACACAGCCCATTCCTCCTGGAGCACTTGGAGCAGGCTGGGACTTTGCCTTGTGGATGTTCTCGGTCTCCTTATTTGTCTTCTGTTCTTTCTCCCATTCCATGTTCAATGTTCTAGTCACCATATCCCTAAAATTCCTTCTCTAGCCTTTCATTTACTTCCCTCACCTGACCCTCCCTATTTCCATATCATTTACCCTAGATTCTTTATCCCTTTTTCTCCATCTCCTTCTCACTTCTCTCTTCATCCTCTGCTCCTGCTTTTTGCTTGGCATGAACATGGAGAAAATATATCAAGGAATAGAGATGAAAACTCAGCTGAACTTTATCATCTCTAATTAGAAAGAGGTACTAAAACTGACCTTATTCTGCAGCAGCAGGTTTGTAGTGCAGACAATTTTACACTTCCTTATAGCAGAACATATGACATGACCGAATGAAATCCAGGTCAAGGTGCTTAAGAAGTGGGTGACCCATGCATTTCCTTGAGACCATCTTCTCTAAAATCCTCAGAGTCAGTCTCTTTGTGTGGGACTAATGGGAGCTCATTATCCTGTACAGGTTTCCTGGAGCTTACCTGGGTCACCTTCCCAATCTCTTCAAATCCAATGCTGCTGCTCAGCATCCCCATCCTTCAGCAGTAGTGCCCTGAAACTTTGTCTCAGACCCATATCCCTGTGGTGGAGAATTTCTCGCTGATTTCTAGTCTGATTGTTCATTGATGTAATACTGAGCTTAAACCAGAGTAAAAGAAATTTTCCCCCAAATGTTCATATTAAATAATAAGTTACTCAGTGTTGGCAGTTACACTCATGTGTTAGGAATTACGTATGAGAGGTAGAGGGGAATGAACACCTAAGTTCTAAAACTAGTAGGCGAAGCCACTTATCTACAGGGGATGAAAGGGTTTTTTGACATGCCATACAAATATTATTAAATATTCTTAAATGTAGCTTCTACATTCAGAACAACAGATGGTTGTTCTGAAATTCTGAAGCGAGTGAGCAAAGATGTAAAATACATTGAGTTACTTCTTTATCATCTCGTCTCACAACCTGTTTTGGGCTGGGCTAAGGCAATGTTTCTCATGTTCTACTCCTATCCGAGTTTGAAAGTCTGTGAAAGGGAAAACAAAGGTCTATTACAGAAGTGGAATAGTGCCATTCATTAACAACTCATAGGAAAAATAAGGTAGTAGAATGTTTCAATTTAAAATTTTCTGTCTTAATTTTTCTTAAACTTTTGCAATTTACTATTGTTTTTCTGTACCGTAATCTATTATGTGATGATATATGGTGTAAAAATACATCAAGTTCAACATAAATATATTTCATGACTTTTGTCAAAGAAAGCACAATGTACAATTTATTTTCCATCTAAATTGCTTTTAAATAATAACGGTAACAGCAGTGCTTCTATAATGCTTACTCTGTGCAGGACCTGTTCCAAGTCAAAGTTCTCTCTCTCGCTGTCTCTCTGTTTCTCTCTCTTTCTGTCTTACATATGCATGTATGCAGATACATTGGGCAACTCTATTTTACCCGTAGCTTGAAAGTAAAGGAACTACAGGAGAGAGTTTAAGAAATTTGCCTGTCACAGCTATTAAGTGGCAACACTGGATCTCAAATCCGGCATGTTCTGGCTCCATGCTCTTAGCTAGTATAATACGATGCCTACTGATTTTCCAGGGTTCCTGCATGGACTCTTCCAGTGTGAAATGTGGGGCTCTGGACCATACAAGCACCTAAGGATGGGAGTTGGATTACTGAATTCTAGTTCTAGCCATGTAACTGCTGCCCAAGACAACCCAGAGTAATTCCCTTTCTTTGCATGGGCATTTGGTTCTTCACTTGTCTGACTGGGTCTAAGTGTGAACATCTCTCAGGGATTAGCTAATATCATGACTATGAAATTTAAGGCAGTTGAAAGAGAGTTGTGATAATGACCATACAGAGGGTGTCCAGAGGGCTACCAATGAGACTGAGTGAGCTAGATAACCATCCTGAAGAGTCCTAGTCTACATATTTTTCTGAAAGGTGTCTAAGAAAGAAGGCTTTCTCTCAGCTAACGTATCATGACCTGCTGATCATTCTTCCAGAGTATTTTAGGAATAAAATCTATATATAATTACTATTTATAAACATAAATGTTGCTATTTCTCCCTAGGAAGAGTAGTAATCTTAGACGCATGGAGTAATTTATCCACTAAGTCATGCTGGCTGATGACAAATGTTCCCAGCCTCTCATGGGCAACTTCAAGATCAATACCTCTGATGCTCCTACCTTTATCTTGACGGGCTTCCCAGGAATGGAGGCCATGGAGGCATGGCTATCTGTCCCTCTGCTTCTGCTCTATGCCATCTCTATTGTGGGCAACACCCTGATCCTCCTCGTTGTTAAGCAGGAGCAGAGTTTGCACCAACCCATGTACTGCTTCTTGTCTCTACTCTCAGTCAATGACTTGGGGGTGTCCTTTTCCACATTACCGACTGTGCTGTCTGCCCTCTGCTTCCATGCCCAGGTGATTGCCTTTAATGCCTGCTTGGCTCAAATGTTTTTCATCCACTTCTTTTCTTGGACAGAGTCTGGCATCCTTCTGGCTATGAGCTTCGATCGTTATGTGGCCATCTGCAACCCACTGCGCTATGCTACAATTCTCACTAATGCCCATATTATGGCAATGTGCCTATGTACTGTCGTCCGAAGCTTTGCCTTCATTCTGGTCTTCCCATTGCTGCTGCACAGACTGTCCTTCTGCCACAGCAAGAACATCCTCTCCCATGCCTACTGCCTTCATGTGGATATGATCAAGCTGGCGTGTACTGATGTCTCCCTTAATAGCTACTATGGGCTGTCCATTGTACTGTTCACCTTTGGCCTGGACTCTGTACTCATTTTCATTTCCTACATACTTATCCTGAGATCAGTGCTAGCCATTTCCTCCCAAGAGGAGCGCCTCAAGGCACTCAACACATGCGTGTCCCACATCCTAGCTGTGCTCATCTTCTATGTGCCCATGGTGAGTGTGTCCATTGTGCATCGCTTTGGTGCTGGCCTGCCCCATGCTGTCCATATCCTCATGTCTATTCTTTACCTCTTTGTGCCTCCCATGCTCAATCCTATCATCTACTCCATTAAGACAAAGGAGATCCGCCACAGGCTTCTCAAGATGTTCTTCAGGAGTAAGTTCTGACTCTTTGGTAGATCTAGACGTCCTGGAGATTTGGTGTTGGGGGCATAGTCAACCATAGACCAGAGGAGGAAATGATCCATCTGGAGGATCTTAGTGATGCACCGTTAAGTCCTGGGATCAATGAGGTCAATCATTTAGTCTAGTATATTGAGCCTGTACCTGCCAGTAAAACCTTGGGATAGATCAAGAACTCAACTTGTCTATGTTCTCCAGAGACAGAAAAATGTCTCTTTTCAACAATAACCAGGAGAATGCCAAGCATCCCTCCAGGGTGGCATTATTCTCTGGAGGAGGGAGGGGCTGACTTGAGGACACATGGTAACATTGCTGGGATTTCTGGTTATGGGACTGCACAACTCCGAAAAAGGCAGAGACACAGATGGGGAAATTATGGTCTGAGTATCATCTGCACATAATTACTGATATGCAAATTTAGCTTAGGTGGTAGATTTCTAATGCTGCAAGGAGCCAGAGCTCTTCCAGTCATGCTGTTTGAAAAGTTGTTAAGTTCTGGAGTTTGACAGCCATGATGATTAATTTTATGTGTCAATGTGACTTGGCCATGAGGTGTCTAGACATTCGGTTAAACATTATTTTGGATATTTCTGTGAGGGTGTTTCTGGATGAGATTAACATTTGAATCACTAAACTGAGTGAAGCATACGGCCCTCCCTGGTGTGTGAGGGCCTCATCTAATCCATTGAATGCCTGACAAAGAATAAATATCTGAGTACTTAAGAAAGAAATCTCTTTGATTGTTTTTGAGCAGGGACACTAGTCTTCTCCTCCTTGAGACTCAGGCTTGGACCTAAACTTACACCATTGGCCCTCCTGGTTCTTAAGAATTCAAACTGGAACTATACCATCCATTCTCCTGGGTCTGGACTTCTCAGTCTCCAAAATTGTGAGAGCCAATTCCTTACAATTCATAAATAATAATGAATAAATAAGAGAAGGAAATCATGAGTGAGCAAATTAATGAATGAACATATGGATTAATAATGAATTTCCTTAAATCAGAATCACATATCAGGAAACATTCCCTCTCTCTCTGTACCTCACAACTTTCCCTATAGAGAGAATTGTAAATTAGAGGTGGCATCCTTCTTTTTTTCTTTATTCTTTTTATTCCCCCAGATTTACTGAGATTTAGTTGACATATAACCATATAACATTGTATAAGTTTCATGTATACTATGTGATGATTGGCAGCACATATATATTTCAAAATGATTATCACAATAAGGTTGCTTAACCCATCCAAAAAGGTGACATCTTGAGTAAGTGGTCTGAACTTCTGAGTCTGAATTTCCTCATCTCTAAAATAGGACACCAATCTTTGATTTATCTACCTCATATGTTTGTTCTGAAGAGTGAATAAAATAAACTGGTCTAAAAATTAAATAATGATACATATAGATAATTTACTCATCTTGTTTTTATTCAGCATGAATAAATGCAAAATTCAATGTTTAGCTTCTAAATATCATGTGCATAAGCCATAGGCTAAAGAACTATTTAGTGTAAGATTTTCTTGAACATGAAGTAGAACTGCTCACTGCCCACTGTACTCGGCACATATTTTAATCCTATCAGTTGGTTTGGGTAGTTTGTTTCCTCCACTAGACTACAGGGACTGTAAGAACTCATGGGCAGGAATCTTGTCTCATTTACATTTACACTCTTCAGTCTTTAACATAAGGCCTAAAATATACCGGACATATAGACACACAAATAGTTGGGGAATGAATTAATATATGATTATATTTGCACATATTTGTATACCAGCTATCTCTGTATACTTCAATCAATTACTGTATCCTATAATGTTTTACTCTAAAATAGATAATTTTACTAACGATTTTATATGAATATTTTGATATTGATCATAGTTTAATACTATGTGCATTATGGATATAACCAGAGTGAATAAAAATTAATTGTACCTGAAATTTTAAAGCACGTCACAAAAGTACCTTGCATATTTGTATTGCTCAGACCTTATATACTATAAAGAGAGTGTACCCATGGCAATTTAAATAGAGTGCTAACAGTGTTTGGCCTTTAATAGGTGCTTAAGATAAATATTTTTTGAAAGAATATTGCTGTTTAATGATTTTGGCTCTTTCATGTATGTGTCTTATAACGAAGTTACTGTCATAATAAATGGACAATATTTTTTCAATGTCGGTACTTTTGCTTGCTCCTTTTAATCTGAAGGACTTGGAAACAATGATTTGGCTCTTTTATGTACCTGTAAAAAGCAGTCTGAGAACTTCTGGGCTAAGAAACTTAGCATCTTGACCTTAGAAATCTGCCCAGTCTTAAAGGGTCTCAGCAGACACTTGCTAGTGACAGTCCTCTTCTACTCAGTCCGTTAAATAGCAAGTTCATGACACTGTCTGGATCTGTAACTTTCAATACGGAGATCAATCTCAGACTGTTTTCCTAGTTCTCTGATGAGAGCTGTGATCACAATGATACTTTTACTATCACAGGGCTCTGTCTACCAGGTTATCAGATGCATTCAATCTGAGTTCTTGTCTTCTTTAACCTTTTCTTATAAATCAACCACCACTCCACAGGTCATCTTGCTGGTTTTTTTAGAACTTTCCCTTAGAACTATAATATGAATTGCAGCTTGTCTGTTTAGGTAAGACTAGATCATCCCACCTGTTATGGGCTGGAAGTGGGTCCAGGGACCATTCAATCTGTGTGTCTGCATGAACTGTTGGAAGAGAAGCCAGGATATTTACTCTATGGAACAAAAGGATAGGACACCTTCCATGTTGGTGCTGCTTCATGAAGAATTTCCTAGATCACGAGATTGGAAGAGTATAGGGCATAGGTAGCATTAACGAATGAGATCTGGGTCCTATGTGGGGTTATTTGACTTTTTGCCTTTCTGACTAAATATCTACACAATTGAGAATCTTCAATTCTGGTCTCATGGTACACTTCTGTGCTTAATTCCCTCAGGTTCTACACAGCACATCTCACACTGCTGTTTGAGGATATGTGGTGTTGTATCACACCTCACTCCACATCAAGAAGTGCTTCCAATGTGGACCCTCAAACATACATTAAGGGACTCCCTCTAATTCTCCTACTTTTAATGCATTCAGTGGTAGAAACACAGAAACAAAGGTCAGGTCTAAATTAATGACTTCAGAGCAATGAAAACACCCCAAACACACAGTCTTATCTGCTTTCTATATTCTGTTTCACAGATGAGAAAATGTTCATAATTAGTCCATTGAAAAACATGTGACAGTTTGTCCCCATCCAAGGAGAAGAACGTCATGACTATTACATAATATCATTTTATAGTTACATATCCCAAAATAAAATATGAACCCTGTGGGGGTGTGTGATATTGTGATTTATAAGAAATATAAATCAAATGACAAAAATATATTTCTCACATATGTTTGGTCTTCACCCACAGTTCTTGGCTCACAGCTCCCAAAACTCTTGAAATTTCCTGAGCTATAAGAGCAATGGGAGCATCTTTTGTTGTAATATTGGGTCTCTTGTCCTCAGTTTCTGAAAAACATTTTCGAGCCATAAAGGTGAAATGGGTGTCTGGTTATTCATAACAAGCCCCTTTCTACCAAAACTGGGTTTATGTTAATAAGGTGACTTTTGGAAAGCATCTAAGGATTGGGGCTGGTTACCTTGGGAACCAACTGTGAATAGAGGGGTAGGACTTTTAGTCCCATCCTCGAAATTCCAGGGAGCAGAGAGGGACTGGAGGTTGAATCAATCACCAGTCCAATGATTTAATCAATCATGCATATGTAATGAAGCTTCCATAACAACCCAAAGGAGGGGGTCTGGAGAGTTTCCAGGTTTGGGAACCAGAATGCTTCCATGTGTTACTGTGCTGGGCCCCAAATTCCTTAAGGACAAAGATCATTTGTTTGGAACCTTGTCCTATGTATCTCTTCATCTGGCCATTGATTAATATCCTTTAATATCCTCTGTAATAAGGCAGTAATCTAGTGAGTAAACAGATTTTCTGAGTTCTGTGAGCTACTCTAGAAAGGTAGTCAAATGAAGGGGGGGGGGTCTGTGAATCTCTGATTTATAGCCAGTCATTCAGAAGCACAGTAACGACCTGAGCTTGCAATTGGCATCTAAACTGACAGTCTTGTGTAAGTCCTTAACCTGTGGGATCTGATGCTAGTGTCAGAATTGAGTTGAATTGTAGGACAACCAACTGTTACATAATAGAATCCACATCTATCCGCCACCTGCCTACAGAGTGGAATTGGTACCAGCCCTTCAAGGCACTTAGCATAGTGTATGGCATAGGAAAGTTTCTCTAAAAATAGTTGGAGAAAGGAGAGGAAACAGTATTGCATAGAAATGAAAAACATGGCATGCAATTTAATAAAAATATGTTCCTAAAATAAAGTGTGAAAGAGAAAGATCCTCAGGAAAGAAATACAGAAGATGAAAAAAAGGAAGACATGTGATCCAAGAAACGGGATTCTAACTCAGGAGAGCCGTAGGACAAATTCCTTGACAGCTGCTGGATAAGGGACCTGGGAAGCAACTGATCCAGACTGAAGCAAGACAACAGGGCTACTGGGAGCAGTTACCAAAAAAATTAAATAGTGTTTGATTTGAGACTAGTGTGATTAAGAGAGTGGTCAAATTTGAGGCAATGATAAACTCAGTGGTTTCATCAATTAGCCCAAATGGTATTAGACACTCGACAGTGGTCATAGATGCCTCTGTGTTTCCCATTTCATACTTTCTTTCTTCTCAAATCACTCACGTCTGTTTCCCCAACCTCTTACTCCCAGCTAATGACCTTAATTTTTTTCAGAAGAATGTTGATAAGATTAGACAGGAACTCTCAACTTCCTATAGCTAATTTTGGGCTTATCTTCTGTTAAAAGATAAACTGAAGCATATTAAAAATTTAAAGTTTATTTGAGCAAAAATCGATTTGAACTGGGCAGCATCCAATCTGGCAGATAGAAAGGAGC